AACCTGACCTTTATCCCGTAGATTTATTGACACTGTGCTGCTTTGTATCATATTTCATTACTATGTGGAAAACCAGGAAAGTCCTTCCTGTAAAACCACTTTTGATTCTCATCTACAAATTTTTGCATCTACGGTAGATTATCTAAAGACCAAGAAAACCTTAATGTGGCACATGCTTATTTAAAACAAAGTGATTACCTACACGTTTAAAAATGGGTGTGCATTGCTCAGTTGTACCAGTCCATAAGGATGTTATGCAAGAACAACAACATCGCTGAGGGGCATTTTTCTATGGTCTCTTCTACCTCTCCCCAGACCAAACATACTGCAATTTCTAGGAAAGAAGAATCTAATACTAAAAATGTTTCAATTAGGTTTTATAGGTTCAAAATAATCAGATAAATTTCATGCACAAAACATGATCTATACTCAAATACCACGCTGCTAAAAGAATAATGGATGTGTCTTGCTGTTACGCAGTATGCTTCTACTTTGTTCCTACAGTCACCTAGGAGATATGTAAGCTCCTCCATACACAGGGTATTCTCAAGCAACATCTGATTGATAAATAGCCATTTTAACTATAGATAACAGCTCTGTGACTAAATATTTTGTTCTGTGTGCGGAAATTTTAATGAGAATAAATAAAAATTAACAAAGCTAAATCTGATCATGCTGAAACAACACATTTTCCTAACTAATTGGCTAAATAATGGTTTGCATTTCTGCAGTATGTTCTCTTCCTAAATCCCCTGGAAGCTTTCCAACAAGCCAGAACACAGAAGCACCATGCTGGTGATCCCTATGTGAATCACATCTGTGTTGTCGTTTTCAGCCTCCTAGGCTTGAACATATTGAAATAGTCAATGCTTGGCTGTAAAGCAAATAGGCTGCTTTCCCTAAAAAAGAAAAATCTATTACTTGTGCTAGATTCTCAAATCCTAATATTTACTCTTGTCTGAATGATGGGTAATTGAGCACTAACATAAACTATCTACAGATTTCCCTCAAAATGATTGTTTCTCTTCTTAAGAAGAATTGGAAAGCAAATCATTCTTTCATTCTCGTATTAATTGAGGATGAAAGATTGGAGCTAAGTCCTTGAAGTCAGGGGAAAGACATAGGGCAGGTGGCAAGAAAGAGGGGGAGGAGCATTTCACTTGTCTGCTTAATCTCTGAATCTGCACCGACATCAGTATCTGAGGTAGCTGTCTGAGGGGAGATCTCTATGTGTCACGGAGTTGACCAGATCAATCTATGTCCGTGACAGGGGCGACAGGCCTCTGCCCTTCCCCCCCACCCCAGTCCCACAAAAATGGGAAAGAAGGAAGGGAGGAAAAGAACAGCGGCAACAATCTATGGAGGAAAACTTATTTTACTATAATATTGGAATACAAGATAACACAATAGATACAATTTAATTGAAATTGAGATTAATAAATCAGACAAGATGAGAGAGAGAGAGAGAGTTCCCGGGACCGATTCAAACCTGAAAAGCTTGGAACGGCTAGGAAAGCACCTCCAGCACCCACTGTAAGGCAGCAAGAGAGCACCCCCCCACCTGGAAGGGCCAGATCCCGTGACTGCTGTAATGTACAGGGATAGGTAGCTGGGATTGGGGCAGTGATACTTTAATGCCCCGTACACTACATGATGTTTTGATGTGGAATACTGAAATCCAAAAACAAAAAAAAACAAAAACAAAAACATAGAACCATGACATTATGCCATTGGAAATAAATAGGCATTTCCAGAGGATAGGCCATCTGAGATATCTTTAACACCTTCCTTTGGGATCTGACAAACTGATGCACTCCAAATGAGCTTCAGGTGAAGAATCTCACTGGGGCATTGAATTTCCTGTTATATGAATTTTAGGGATTTAAAACAAAGTTTTTCAAGGGGAAATTTTACAAAATATCAGAAGCAGGAAAGAAGCAGATTTATGACAGAAAGATGTAAATTCCTCAGTTACTACGTTCCTCTAAAACATGAAGATAATTTTCAGCATATATAATTAAGAGTTACTGATTTTATTCCCCTTCATTAATGTTGCCATGCTTTTTGTTTGGCAAATACTACGTGAAGTAAGAATCACCTTCACAATTAATAACATTTAACTGATTTAATGGAAAACAAACATAAAGGACAACTCTAGCAGTTCTTACAGAGCCCCCCATCTAGTAGGAGCAAAATGGAAGTGCATCCAGTTTTATGAAACCATACTTATTGGCTGGAGATCGTCAGCTTTAAACTGTTCTTTGATTTCTAAATGTATTGGTTATGTCCCTTGAGATTTTTTTTTATTTTTTAATCCTAAAAAGAGAATTTTATTTTGCCTCTACATAGTGCTATGCTTTGGAAAATTCAGAACAGGTTTTCAGAACATTCCAGTAGTTATGAAAACATAAAATTTGCTTGGAACATTTTTATTCTTTTCAGGACTGCTGTGGATCTGTCATCTACAGTCTCACTTTCCTCATTTGCAAGAACATGAAGACAAGAGATAACACTCATTCTAAAATATTCTGGCTATTGGTTATTTATGTATCACTACATTTTTTTCATCATAAAATGCTTATCGAGATAAATATTTATTACTATTATTATTGTTATCCTAGCAGTAGTGAATGAAGTTCATTTAAAATTAAGACTTCCATAATACTTCATTAAAATTGAAGTACAGTACCTTACTGAAGGCAGTGATTCCTGGATTATACTCTCTGTAACTAATTAGACTGTCTCATCTACAGAGCAACATCTTAAGTGATGAAAAAAGTCAGTGTAGAGGAGATAAATTAGATGACCTGACTACTCAGCTCCAGACTGGTTTGAATCTTCCTTTTGGCCTTTATAGACTAGCAAGGAAGTGCTGGAAGTGCTGCCCAGAAAATGTGATTGCCGCCAAAAAAATACAGATGAGGAGGAGATGGGAATAAGGAAGTTGACTGCTTTAGTTGATCAATGAAAGTGGAAAAACAGATGCCTCGTTTCATAGTTCAGATATCCCATCAGGGGAAAAAAAAATTATAGAGACATAACATGCACATAAAAGAAGCACGATTTGCAAAAATATTTCTCCGCCATCTCTACTTACAAATAGAAGATCTTTGAGCCCTTTGACTTCATCTGATGACTGTCATTCAAATTTTACTGACTCCCAAATTCTATGAGAAACTCCAAGACCAATTTGAATGCAAAATTCTTATAAAGGCTTAGCCAATCAAACGTATACATGGCTATGGTCTTTCAAAATAAAGACTATTAAACAGTGAAATGAGTTCAAATGAAAACAGTGTTGTCAGTTGAGACAACTGGAGCATCCCTGAAATTGATATTTTCCTTATCTTATATGAATACACTGTCTTGACACTACTATCCCTGTGTCTACTGCAGAAAATTCAGTAAGTCTATAGAAGCAGTTCACATTAGTTTCTTCAACCATCTAGAATAGTACGAACAACTTCTATTCAATCTAGTGATAAAGTTCTTTGCCTGTACTAATCTTTTCTACTAAATGTACATCTTAAAATATTTTGCAAGTACAAATTCACGTTATTTAGGCAAGAGAATCAGACTGGTTTAGTATTAGAGTATCAAGTACTTCAGGCTGTTTTTAAAAACTATTTTTCAAGTGTATCAGAAAGAAAAAGACACTGTACCTTGTGTCTTTTCTGCTCAGGCCTGTATGGATTTTTATACCTATAAGGGAGGGTTTTCAACTACTTGCTTGCACAGTCTAAAAACATAGCTGGCAAATAGCAGTGATTGAATCTCCAGCTGCTTTTGAATAATCAAAAAACAGGGACTACTGTTACACTAGGTAAAAACTATCTGAAATGATATTTAGTTTTTGCTGTGTTCATAGTACTTCAGCTCTGGTTTATAGCAACAACTATGAAAATCATTAACAATCACCAGTAATTGTATCAAGACAAACACTGTCAGCATTGGAAAAATACATTACTTGCAGATCACCCTGGACACAAACTGTTTTTTTTACTGCCAGGATGACAACATTTTCTTCATCATCCACATATACTCTACTGAAGACAGAACTGGATTCGGCAACAATAATGTTAAAACATTTTCATACGTCAGCTTTATCCCAAGTATTTAAGACTATTCTATCTGGTTGTCTGCTATCTTGCTCTTCGGGACATAACACATTCAAGGTATACTCTATGAAAAGCTTAGCAATGATTCCTTGCTTTTGGATCAAGAGTCAAACATTTGCCGATGCTGTTTTATATATATATATAAAACATATATATATATATATGCTCAGTTAACAGGGAAGGGTTGGGAGAAGCAGTTTTTATGCGCTTCTGACAAATTGCTTGACTAAGCACACTTTTTGTACTGTCTGCAGATGTTTATCAGATTCATAGATTCATGGAATTTGACAGAGATTACACTGACATCTCCATATATATACTTGATATATGCAGATACAATTAATTTGCTATAAGCCATGTCAGGGCAGTAATTACTAAATTGCGTAATGTTTCCAGATATAATTCCACTGATATTTACCTGAGTCCTTCAGATTACATTTTTTCTAAATATTCTGCACCATTGTCCTTTTTTTCTTAAAAAGGCAAAACTTCAAAGGTTTCCTTACCTCTTTCTCATGATTACAAGAGTTATGATGTTATAATCAGAGTAATAGTATAGAATTAGTATATAGTAATAACGTAAAAGAGGAAATACGTCCTGTTGAAGTAATGGCATGACTTCTGTTTACTGGATCTTGGAGAAATATGTGCTGATAGCACTGATGCATCTCTTTTATGAAGCTAGGTTTATAGTCAAGCAGTTTTTTGCTGTCTTGTTCATGCTTTAGCTGAATAATTCCTTAGGTGGAGATGTTCACCATGAAGCATACATACATACACAAGCAGACAATAGCACCACAGAGTGTCAAAGATAAAAGCAGCCTTTTTAAGCACAAGAATGTTTGCAATCTAATATGTCTGTAATAAGTTTTGTTCACTTACCTTGACACAGCCAAATTTTCTTTTGTGGAAAACCTGCAGTTCCAAGACACAGAACAATACTGAGAGCTAGAAAGTAGAACAAGAAAAAAGAAGAATCACTGATGGTAGGAAACAATCATAATCTCAACAAAGGATTGTATGTGTACAGTAAAAAACTGCAGCACTTCTCATAGAAAACTATTTCAGTATGCTATTAGAAAATAAGATAGATCTGGTCCCCCAGTTGACACTGCATTAAGCAGAAAGAAGTAAACAGTTCAGAGGGTGGTTTGCCTTCAAAGCAGAACAAATTTTGGATGATTCAAAGTCCCGGACTGATCCAACTGTTGTAACACAGGTCAACTGAAAAGATTTAATCACTAAAAAAAAATCCACTTAAGCTCAAAAGTTAAATATACATATGCAAACTTTATTCCTCTTATATTTTGAAAATATATTGTAAATTGGTTTACTAAGACACATACAGCTGTTAAAACTGCTGTACCTCCTGCCTCTTCTACTACTGAAGCAATTTTTTCTTTCCCTGTATCTGAGGGATCAATGATAAGCATCCTTAAGTGTCTGAAGGACATAAAAACCCAGAATAGCAAAAAACTGTTTTATGTGGCCCAAGGGGGAGGAAAAATGGAATGAAACTGAGCAAAGGCAGAACTTGGAAAGAAAATGCTAATAAATAGATGTGTCTGCCCATTGAATAATCTTCTAAAGGAGTTCCTTGACATTCTGTAATATGGAGTATTTGAAAATGCAAAAAAAAAAATTTGCTGGAAAAAAAAAAACACACTGATAGGACACATAAAAAAATGAGTGAGCAAATCTTGCTTCCTGATAACTACTTTTTTTGTGAATTCTTCTTCTATTTTCAGGGTAACAATGGATTTTTATATATTTAATTGCTGTATTGTTTTCCTACCACTTCCATCCTCTGTTCACTTTCTTTCTGACATTTTTCACTTTACTGGAATGCACCAGATTTAGAGTTTTTGCGAGGAAAAGTTAAAATGTATTTGTATCCAAACTTAAGCACAGCCTGTCTGGAATTGATTCAGGGCAAGAGTTCAGGATCAGAGATCATGAAAAGTAATATTTAATTATTATTTATTTCACCAAGTATCCCATTCACAGCAAATTTTTTTTTTTTTTTTTTTTTCCCTCCATTGTTAGACTGCATGGATTTAAGCTCAAGGAAGCTGTCACAAGGAAAGGAGTTCATGAATGACACTTATAGCAAAGGTAAGAGATGTTTCTGAGTGGAAAAAGAAGGCAGCTGCTCATCTGGAATTCTCTGTTTTTGCCTCCAGAAAACCTACTCTTCTCTTCTCCTGATGCTCATACACAGAATTACTGATGTTGTATTAAAATGCTGCAAAAGACCTCAAAAATATCACTCCCTGTAAACAGCGAGTAATATCCCAATAAGTAAAAAGCTTGGCACTATTTTGCACAAAAGGAACTCTGTAGTTACAACCAATACTATCGATAAACTACATCATAGTCAGAAAGAGAGAAAATGAATGTCAATATAGTAATAATAAACTATAATTCAAAGTAAAGAGTTCCAGAAGATAACATAAGGTTGGAGAACACATTCTTGCGGTCGTGAGCTTCTTCTTTTCCTTAGCCAATGAGAAAAACTATTTATCACATTTTAGTCAGATCATCTGAGTTCTTCATTTTGGGATACATATCCTTGTTTATATTTATATGAGTTACTTGGATATACCCAAGCTGTGTTTTACCATTTTGTAAGTTCAATTTCCAGTGACCTTTTCTAAAAATACACATAAATTATGCAAATATATGCAGATTTTTGTCCAAAAGATAAAATGAAAAGCTCATTAAAAGGGAAAGATCTGCATGACCAGATTTTAGTCTTACATGAAGGTGCATTCATACCATAAATTTAAAATTAATGATTTTAAACTGCATAGCCACATGCGTAAAAGGCATATTTCTGTATGGAAATGCTACGCACAAATATAAAAGTAGTATTCAGGCACTTCAGCTTTAATAGATCAGTGTGCTTTTTTAAATTGTACATTAAAGGACATAATGCCCAAATAGTTATGTAAAACCCAAAGGATTCACAGGCAACCTGAACAGAATCAATTCACTAAGCTGATAGTAAAATCTAACATGGAACTGAAGTTTTGTCTAATATGTAATTTGGAAGATAAAATTATCATATTTATTGAAATTGTAAGATATAGCAAGTTTGTGTTATTGTCCATGTTTTCACATCTGAATTGAATGATTCTTTCCCAAGCAAGTGCAGAGTGTACAGAAAAATCTCAGTCTGGAATCTTTCTGTGCAATGGTTAATTACTAAAACAGTGAAATATACATGAAAATGTTTGTTTTTGTTTTTCAATATAAAAAGCGGAAATATTATGGATCAAATATAAACAGTAGAACGAGGAAGTACAGGAATAGCAAAAGCACAGAAAGATTCAATGACTTATTTACTCAAGAGCACATAGTAGGTCAGCCTCAAAGAAAACAAAATGCACGCAAGCAGTTTTACAACTATTTCTCTGCATTACAAACCAGCTGTATATATACAATAATTTGAATGCAAAAGCTTAGGATCACAACAGTATTTCACATTTCTCTGGGATGCATTAACTTTGGTTCAGACCTTTCCAACACTGTTATTCTGCTTCTGGTCAGGAAAGATACTCAAAAGTGTCTCCCAAGTGCTCTGAGTTGGCTAACAGCTCTGTAGCTACGCAGAGACAGACGTTAAAAACAGTTGTGATATGGAGGGAGAAATCTGGAGGATGGCTGTACTTGGAAGAACAAGTTAATGTGCTCTGGGGACTAGCTTTAATCACAGCAAGAAAGATAACGCCCACTCAAGTGTGATGAAGCATTCAGCATTTCCCCGACAACAGACAACAGACTGGAGACTTTGTGAAAGGCAGCAGCTGTCCTGCTTGCAGCATTACTACACAAGGGCCAGATTCTCACTGACCAGCTCAGAAGAAATCGGTGCTGACCCAAGACAGCACAGCAAAAATTATTCATGATTGCTGTCCAGCAGAGCCCAATATATCAGCAAAAATGATGAGAAAGAAAAAGCTGACAAATGAAAAAAGAAAACACTAAACATAGGGACTTTCAATCTATTTAACTAATTCAAGGAAAGAAGTGATTTCTCAATGAAAAAGTGAAAAGCAGTCATAATTGTAGAGCTATTGCTCTGGCCCTTCAAAAATAAACTAAACTGTACAAAGACCATTTCATCAGTACTTTAGGAGTTGATGTAGACAAGTTTCTTCTTCTGAAGGACTAAATTTAATGACTAGTATAAGAAAAACTCCCGTAAAATAACACGTTGTATGTTACCACACCAGAACAGGTAATTGTCTGCTATCATCATCTTTGATTAGAAATGAAGAAGGAAAAACAGCTTTTTAGTGTGCAGTGATAAAGATTAAAACAGCAGCAAGCTATGAGCAACTATAAAGGAGTCAAAGTCCAATGTATTTACCAGTTTCTAACAGTTTAACCCAAACAGTGTAGAGCAGTAACAGTAAGAAAACAAACTTCTAAGTGCTGGATTACATAAATAGATATTAGGCTACCCAAATTCCTACAATCTTATCCAAGTTTTATTAATACTGTAATACAGGTAAGTAGGTGCTGGAGTTTGAAGTAGCTAACACAAAAATCAAAACTACTGATGTCTAGAACAGGAGCTCTCTAATGTTAGACTCATTAAAAATAAATAAATAAAGTGAATAAAATTATCACAATCCAATCTCTGAAGTCCCCTGACAAACCTAGAATTGAATGGATACAATTCATTAAAACCTAATTACCAAGAAATCAATAGTGCAATTTAGCCCAAACCAAAACTCATTGTAATGCAATGAACATTTGAAAACCCAGGTCATTATAAACAGGGTTTAAGTGACATTGTATATTACATCGTAGAGTGTCTCTGTACAGCAATTAGCACAGGCTGCCTGACTTTACTCAAAAAGGATATTACTGCATGCAGTCTTAGTAGTAGTGCATCTGTAAACACCCACTCTCAAAGATGCAACATAAAAAGAAACAACCTTGCTAACAATAGTCCAATTAAATCCAATTCAAAAGAAAAATCAACTACCCACAATCCCAAATACACACCTCTCAAAATTCACTTTTGTTATGTGTCTGATGAACTAAACAGGCACACTTTTCTTTTAGCTATATATATGTAAATGCACTGACACCTCTGACAATGAGTAAAAAAAAAGTACAGTCTGGCCTACAATCACAATTTTCAGAATTGATAAAATCTTAATTAAACACAATGGAAGAGTAATTGAAGATTATTTTTCTACTACAGATGCCTATAGAAGTCTCTGAAATCATATACTCTGGCTTCTCATTCTCCAATAATGCTTGGGTATCATTTTAATCCATATAACCTTCCCTCAAAGTAAAAGAACTGATGCATCATTTGAAGCCATGCAATAAATTGTATACATTGTCTTACTCGTCAGTATTTTGAGCAGACAGGTATATCCTCTGGTCAGTCAACTTTACTTCAATTAATGATGACCATTCCCCATTGAAGCTTCATGTGGATCTAAGTAGAGCTACGTGGAACTAAGGCAACTCCATCTCAGCCATGTCATTCTCCTACACTACTGAGTGGAATGGCTATTTTTATTTTCTGAGCCAGAGGTATAAGCATAAGATTCACCATAGGTGAGTCCTTCAAGTATTGGGAATCTGCTCTGCCAGTGTACTTCAGTGGTGCAAATAATAATGTGAGCTGGTTTAGGAATCAGCATGCTGTCCACCATCTAATTCTGTAGGAGAAGAGTAAATTCCCAGAGTTTAATGGGTGGAAAATCTGTGTAATTAAAAAAAAATAAATAAATGAAGGCATTTGTACAGAGGGCATTACAAGTGTATGAATCCTGAAAAATGAAAACAAAACTGAGATTAGCTTACACATAAAAAATGAAAAGAAGAATGGCCTAGGGTGTTAACGAAGAACTCAGGAGACATGGATTCAGTTTCAAAATGTTTCATGACTCAGATGCTGCAGTACACAGAAGTTTATG